GCTTGATTTTAGACATGAGCTATACTTAGTTGATTTCTGGCATGAGAATGAATAAGCCCAATGGAGCCTGCCTGTTTCCTCTCCCATGAATCCACAGCCCAGAAACGGTGGTCTGTCCTACATGTGTTAAGTCATTTGTCTCTAAAGGGACACCAGGATTGCCTGTCTCTTGCCATCTGCTTGTGACCCCTCTCATGCCAAACTTACTCTTCCTCCTGGCTTGTATCAATGTAGCTAACTTGATGATTTTTTTCCTTGTGAAAGCCCATTTTCTTCCTTTCCATGTCTCCAAGGACTTGCCTCTTTGCGTGACTTTTTGGTATTAACAGAACATTTCCTGACTCCAAATTAGATTCTTAGTGGTGAAGGAAGGCTTGTAGGTTGAACTAAATGTTAGGAACAAGCACATGGCCATAGTGATTTTGATGTCCGGAGACTCCTTAAGACATAGCACATCTGTCCCTCAGGAACTTCTCTTGGAGGAGCCCTGGCATCTGCGGTCCTGCCAGCCCAGTCCAACTCCTCATGAGCCAGGTCTTACCCCATCATAGGACCACTACCCCAGAAACCTCTGAAAGCTCTTAGAAATGCTATCACTTCACCAAAATCAAAGATCATATTCTGTAAGGTTTCAAAAACAGCTCATTGGTAACTATTTTTGCTACATAGTTTTTAACCAAGTTACAGAGCATGAGATGAAAATCTATGTGATCAAGTAGCAAAAGTATGAATTACATAAAAGAAAATTCATCTATAACATTGTTCTCTGCTATAAAACTATCTTAATATATCCTTAAATATAAAAACTTGTTAAAATTCTGTTGATTCAGAAGTTATCATTTAAATGCATCGCTTTACATGATATCATGGTATGAAAAAAAATGGCAATCCTAATTTGGAATGATTCTGAATTTGGATGCAGATTGTAGGGTTGAAATGCTCAAATGGATATATACTTTTCATCTGTTTAAGAACTGAAGATAGAAAATAAGATTGGGGGGGTTGGAGGAAGAATTTCATACTTGCCGCATAAAATACATTAGCTTAGTAAGTCAGCCAAGAGGCAAGGCATAACCAGTGTCTTTGCTAATAAAGTAAGACACATTTGCAGGAGAATCTTTCACAAATTCATATTAGAGGTATCTAATGTCTACATGAGCCTTCTTAGCTGGTAACTATAGTAAGATATGGAGAAAGACAGGCAGAGAAGGGTAGCAAGAATGTAGCACATGGTGAAGCTGACAAAGCAGATGGTGGGGGTCTGAATACTGTACCTGCTTATTATTGTCAGTGGTACAGCACAGCTTCTTGAGGGAGACAAAATGCCTAATTTTCCTAATAACATAAATAATCCATGATTAGTGAGTTCGATACCAGAGGGCTCCACAAATCAGCACATGAAAACATCAGCAGTCTTCTTAAAGCAACACTCCCTTAGCAGGGACTGGGGTAGATTTAGGACTCAAGCAAAATCCAAGCTACAGAAAAGGTATTTTCCACACAGCTCCCACCCTGCTCTTCAAAAACCTGGCTTGGTGGAATCCCAGCTGGTGCAGACACATATTCTGAAGGGGTTTCTCTTTGTGTAACTGTCTCCAGAAGTTTGGTTCCTAGATACTTTCAGGGAAAGCCTGCAATACTACCCACACATAACTTCTGACATAAATAATTTGATTTCTCATATAAAAAGCCAAGACATTTATTTGGACAGTGGCCAGGGCAAGCTAAAATTCTGCCAATTAGGTTGTGGTCTTGTTCATGACCATAAGGGAAACTAAAAGATGACAGGTACCTAGGCCCCAGGTAAAAGTTAGCTCAAGGTGGACTTTCTGTTGAAAGTACAGCCATGAAATTCAAACACTGTATAAGACCTCACACCTCAAAAGTGCTTGGGACGCTGCATCTTTCTCTCCAACCCCCCCCCCCCGTGTCTGTCTCTGTGTATGTGTGTGTGCCTCCATCTCTGTGTTTGTGTCTCTATCTCTAACTTTTTCTGGTTTACTTTTCTCTGGAGAACTTTAAAGAGAGCATAGAACATACTAACTATTCTTTAATGAGCATCATTCAAATAGGAAGAGGTAACATTCCCGACTTTAAACCAGAATTGCCTCTGTTAGTTCACTGCCTACAATTAGATAAAAATAACATTGGAAATTGTGTCTAGATAAAAGAACTTCTTTCCCTCATCTGTCAAATCAGAAAAATTTATTCTGACAGAAATTACCAAGTAATAGCAATCTCCTCTGCTTTGGTTATCCACTGATTCTGGTCCCATGTACAAAAAACAAAAACGGTTCTTAGCTTCCATGTTCTCAGAAAATGGTCTAAGAATAAGGATGTTAAAAGCATGAGAGCCCCGGGCATTATTTTCTGCCAGCCATGGCCGCTGGTAGGAAGGGATGCGTTGAGGTGAGGCCTGCTCCCACAGGGACCTGTTGGGAGCACAGCCTGGGGCAGCTGCTCCCAAACCAAGGGGAGCCTTCGGGTAGAAGCCCGGTTAGAAGCTCACGGTGCCTGCCACCTCCAGAGTTCAGCCAGAGAGAAGACATGTATTACACAATGTATCAAACACTAGGCAGTGATCTCCATCTGATGGCAGCACGATTTCAAATGGCTAAATAAGTAAAATCGGAGAAGACACAATATACAAATTGTTTGGTGATTAGACTTCGAGAACCATCACCCCAACCCCCAGCTGGTCATGTGTGCTTCCCACTGGAGTCTCCACTGGGACTCTCCAATACCAATTGTTGGTGTGCTAACTCTTCTTACCTCATTATTTCCATGTTCTGAGTCCCTTACAAACTCAGACGCTCAAGTAGGGTTGACCTTCAAGATGGGTCACGAGGCTTATCAGTGAGGTATTGTTAGGAGTCTAGTCTGACCCTGTGAACCTTCTCACAAAATTTAACTGAGAGAAGGAAAAGGAATTGTGTAGCTTTCTCATCTCTCCACAACACAGACATCTCTGGTAACCTGAGTCCATGGAGTCAGATGCCCTCAGCAGCTGGTCAGACAGCATCCCTTACAGGTTAGTGGCCTCCAGAACTTTCTGAGCCCTTGTGGAAGAAACCCAGAGCCAATCTGGAGAAAACAAGGAAAGGTAGGGCCCCAGGAGAGAGAGAGAGAGGTAGACTCCCTGTGGGCTGAGGGCAGAGGCTTAGAGCCCCAGCTGGAAATTATTAAAGGGGAAGAACAGCCTGGACATGAAGCCCCCTCAAAGGGTCCTGGAAACAATGGGAACATCCATGACTAGAAGACAGGGGGAGGAAACGCATGTATGGGGCGCTACTGGCTTGGTAGGATACGTTAGTGCATTCACATATGGCACAACACTACTGTTTGCAAGGACCTAAGGCTCACACTGGCATTCAGTGTCTAAACCCAATGCTCCCAACAGCCTGAGTCCATGTCTGCAGCTGAAAGAGTCAAAGAGCTTGCTCTCACCCTCCTTGGCCAATCACTGGGGTGATCTTCACGTGCTGTTGAATGCTGTCCCCGGATTTCCGTCTGGCATAGTAAACCCCCTGCCACTCCTACATAGACAAAGAGAGCTCTTAAGATCCTTCGGTTATGGTCACAGTTGCCCCCATGGAGTAGGTTGAGTCAGAATGTTTGCACAAGCTGCCCTTACATTGCGCCAAACTCTGCTGTACCACTGCTTCCACAGCAACACTGACACCATCACAAAGCTTCGACAAAACCACAGAGTCAATGCGTCCACTTGGCTGCCTGTCCTGGGCTCCAGGACCTTTGACCAGGGGGTCAAGTTACCTGCTACTAACCTTCTGCCATAACACTGAATTTGAGAAATCACTCTCAAAATCACCACCTATGAGCTCGACTTAGTATTTTTAGTGTACTGATGGGTAAACAGAGGCTCAGAGATTTTAACTAACTTAGCTTCATTAGGAAGTAGAGAATCTGATCATAAACTTGTATGTCTTTAACATTTCCTGAAGCCCCCAGATGGCTAACATTCTTGGAGTCTCTCAGCCAAGATGTTTAGAGCTACTCTGACTCTTCAGTTTCCACAGGTGCTGCCAAGAACAAAGCTAAGCCCTGGACCCTGGGAATCGGCTGAGAGAGCCAAGTGACATCAGGAGGAACCATGGAGTACCCCAACAATTCTTGGGAGTAACTCAGAGGCGGGCTCTCCTCCGTTTCTTGTCCCTTTCCTTACATATGATATGGCTGCATATGTACATTGGGCTAACAGGTGAGTGGTTGGATTCTTTTGCCAAACCCTTTTGGAGTAGTATATAACATTTTATATCTTTTTTAAGTCTCATTGCTCCAATTGTTTTAAAATCAACCTTGGTTATCTTTATAATCTACACATTTTTATCCCTATTGAATGGCCTTCTGTTCAACAAAGACAATGTTTATCAAACTATTACACAGAAGAAAAGGAAAATGGAAGACAGCAGGAGAGGAAGCTTAGAAGAAAGTACCCAGCCTATCCCAGTTTAGAGGGCCAGCACTCCTTTGGAGGAGAGGGCTACAGAGGAAATTCCTCTTGCACTTCTACCATGCCTTTGTCTCCCAGGATGACACAGAAGGCAGGAGAAGAAGCCGGGAGAGAGAACTACCTGTGGATTCTGAGCAGTAAAGAGCAAAGACAAGAGAAAGGGGCAATTTAAAAAAATAGACTGACATTCAATCCTACTTTCTAACTGATAGGCTGAAAAATACACAGTAGCTGTCTGGGTAGAACACTGCTCAAAGGTGGGCACAGTATTCCAGAAGTGACAGGTGGCATTTACTTACACAGGTAGCATGCATGTCCTTTCACGATTAACACTGGATTCACTGGAGATGCAAAACTAAACCATTATCTCCTTGCAAACAGCAAAAGGCTTTCACTTAATTCTGATATTATTAAGAAAGTAAACCTTACTGATGAGACACCAAAACTTCCAACAGCAGCAGCAGCAGCAACAGCAACAACAAAGCACGGGGGAGAGGGCTTTGGGACCAGCTTTGCCCATTCCACTCACCTTTCCCTTCTTGATGCAGGTATTAATGGTGTCCAGAAGGTCAGCCCGGTTCTTGTCACTCTTGGGCAGGTCAGCAAGTTCTTTGCCCAGTAGCTCCCCTTTGTGGTAGCCCATCATCCGCTCGAAGGCTGGGTTGACGTACTGTGAACAGGGTAGGTTACATATCAGTGTGCAATTCAGGGTACCCTGCTGAGACTCAGGACTATGGAGAAAGCAGTTCTAGCACCAATTGTGTTCCACAACAGGGGCCACAGGGCCCTCCTTCCCTGACCTCCACAGACCAGTAGCCTTCCTCCTAGATGGCCACTATTTAACTGCTGTCCTAAGTCCTCTGTGGGCAGCTGGAAGGAACTTTAGTTAGCAGGGAAGGAACAAGAAGGCCTTCCTTATCTAGTAGTCCAAATCTGTGGTGGACTTCACTCACCATCTGCCACCTCAAGAAACCAGGAAAAATCTGGAAGAAAGTAGAAATAAAAAATAGGGCTGGGGATGTGTAGCTCAGTGCTTGCCTCGCACACATGAGGTCCTGAGTTCCATCCTAGTATCAGAAATTTAAAAACAAATAGGTAATTAAGCCAGAGCTTAATTATTTCAACAGGTTGTGGCACTTATTAATCATAGCTGTAAGGCAGCAATTTGATCTCATATCTGCTGGTTTTCTACTTGCCACAATTTATTTATCGATGCTATGGTTGAGGTCACTTTTAATCTAATCTGAACAAAAAATATAGTTAGCCAGCACGGACAGGACAGCCTTGTAGAGCCGAGTACTAGTGGAGAGGAGGAGTATGCCACCATGCACTTGGAGGTCAGCAGACTCAGGAGGTTTCAGTGCAGAAATCTGCTATGATCTGGGGTTTAGAACTATTTTTTTTAACCTACTCGGCTCAGGCTTCCACTTCCATTTTCTTTTCAAAATGCACAGAATCAGATGAGAGGTCAAGAGTGGGGGACAGGCATTGTTGAATGTGGGGAAGGAGTGGCCACGCTGCACTTTGGTCATGATTTCTGTGGGTAAGGGTTCCATCAGAAATGTTCTCCCACACTCTAGTCACTCTCGTCCTCCACTGGGGCGATGGGTCACGAACTGGTTAATGTAAGGACACCTAGGGAGCTACTCCACTGGGAGCATAGCTTCTCTGAACATGATTAACCCCAGGAGCTGAAAAGGTCAAGAGGATGCTCTAGTCATCAGAGCTATGGGGATGGCTAAAGAAGAAAGCTGTGACATCACACACAGAGCAGGTATCTGCCCCCTTCCCGGGACAAGGTGGGGGCAGCCTGGCCCCTCCTCTCAGTATCAGCCTTCAGCCCCCTAGTGGGCCCTACAGGCTGCCAGGCTACCTGTAAGTCTCCCTCCTCTGGGCTTTAGAAAGCTTTAGGAGTCTGTGCCTGACTGATTCCCTGCTCCCCATCCTGCCCTATTCCCCTGTCTTCCTCTAGGAAAGGGAAGTAGACTCGGTCACTCCTAAGAGCTCCCAGTGACTCCTGTGAACACTAAGCTAACTACACTGAACTTAAGTTTTTGTTCATTTTCTATCCCACTGGACATTAAAATCCTCAAAGCCAAAGGCCATTTTAGAATCTTATCTGGCTGTTCCTGTTTATTTAGTAGATATGTGATAAGTAAATAGGTAATATGATAGAATGTAATGTTTCCTTATTTGTTGGTTAATACATACTTTTTTTCTTTTCTTTTTTGATGGTACTGGGGTTTGAACTTAGGTACTTGCTATGCGGGATGCTCTTCCACTTGAGCTCACCTCCAGTCCTTTTCACTTCAGTTACTTTCCAGATAGGATTTTGTATTTTTGCCCAGGGCTAGCCTCAGAACACAATCCTCCTAATCTCTGTCTCTAGATCAGCTGAGAGTGCAAGCATGTGCCACCCTGCCCAACCCTTCTTCCCTTTGCTTTGAATTGAAATTTGCATTGATGATACATCTTTAAAAGTAGCAAAAGGAGATCCCCTGAGAAAACCCCTGTAAAATCTTATTCCAGAATACATGCTTCCATTTCATTTCAGTGACCCTCCCTCCACCTCTACTTCACAGGCACCGTCTATTTTCCTGTGCCTGTTTATGCCTGTCTTTGGAAGAGGCTGAAAGATGATTTACGCCATAATGTGAAACCATCTCCGGACTAGGGATACGGGGTTGCTACCTACTGGTTGCTATCAACTCAGTTCCCTATTCAAACAATCATCAGTTAGATTACAAGTAGAAAAGGTGGGTAGAAGGCAGAAGCCCCTTCTCCTTAGTTTAGAACTCAGCTGCCCACCACAAAGTAGGGAGGCACAACACAAATGTGTTTCGTGGACAGAACTGACTGTTCAGTTCTAGATGTAAGTGGGGGAGATATGGGATTTGTGGGATTTGAGCCAAAGCTGTGGGCAGGTGAGCCAGAAATAAGCCAGCAATAGGAAGGAACCTTCAGTTCCATTTCAAGGAGCAGCCAGAAAAACAAATCCTAAAAATGCAGCCAAACAGGAAAGTAGTCAGGCTTTGGAGTCAAAAAGACATGGCTGCATGTTTGGGTTTCAATGCTTATTACTTCTTGGAGAAGTCCCTGGACCTTGCTGGGCCTCAGTTTACTCTCCTATACTGTGGGGCTACTGTTGCCAAATGGAGAGGAAATAACTCAATGAAAGTGATGCTGACAGAACCAGGTGGTGTGGGCTACTGACACCAGGGATCTGTGGGGATAGCAAGGCTTGGCTGTATATGAAGTGAGAGTGTCAGAAGAGACAAAAGAAGGCTCCTGTGGAGTTGACCACAGTATGTTGGTGTTCTAGTGGCCACAAGTACTCCTCACGTGCAAGGATACTCTGTAAACTAGCTACAGGCAGGCCACGGTCACAGAGAGGCCACAAAAGAACAGCTACATTTCAGAGGAACAGCAAATGAATGTTTATCTACCATACACATTCCCTTAAGAAGACATAGTGCTCTATAATTGGTATACCAACTACAGGCAAATAAATGAGATCTTCTGAATGATTTGTTCCCATACACATTTGCAAGTGTTTGCTCTACAATTCTGGTTTGCTTCTCTAAATTCTGTCTTGACAGATGACCCAGAGAATTTATGCCAACTCTGTCAAAGAAACCATAGCTTATGATCTGAACACATACATCTTATTCTTTATTGAGAATCTAATTCTTTTAAGTCTGTCAGTGTGCTTTACATAGTTTGATTCTCAGTTCTTCAAAGAAAATGTACTAATATGTGATAATTATGGGAAAGCACTTGTCAAAAAGGTGGCTCCAACTTGAAAAAGGTTACCTGAATCACGTGGTCATCGCTTGTTATTTCTATGGCTTCGTGACAGTGGTCTAATGCCGTAAACACTGAATTACAGGCCCTGAAAGATGCAAAAGACTGAATTAGTTGTCCTATAAAAGTCATTTGCATTTTGATGGTTAATTTAGCAAAGAAAAAAACAGATGCTAGATTCATTGAAGACATATACTTCTTATTACTATGATCTGACTATTGGCATCCCCTCAAAGTTCCTATACTAAAAATTGAATGCCCAATGCAATAGTATTAATACATGGGGCCTTTGGGAAGTGATTATATTATGAGGGCACTACCCTCACGAATAGGATTCGTTTCCTTACAGAAGACCCTTGCTCCCAATGCCTTTGAGGACATGGAATGTGTTATCACCAGACAATAAATCTACCAACATTGTGATCTTAGATTTCTCAGTCTCCAGAACTGAGCAATACATTTGGTTATTTATAAATTTCCCAACTTAAGGTATCTTGTTATGTAGTCCAAACAGACTAAGTCAGTTATTATGTTTTGAAAAAGTGAAGTAATCTTTCAAACTACCTACATAAACAACAGCATATATACCCATATGTATATTCAAAAAAGAACTGTAATTGCGTTCTGAATGGCTATGTGTATGCTGAATGGAGCTTCAACAGGGACACAGAGAACAAACACAGATGAAACTGTCTTGTAAGCCCCATATGTTTTATGTTGGTGACATTCCATTTCCTTCACAGAATTGGTCAGAGAACAGGGAAAGTCTCCATCACTTAGGAGGCTTTAAGTAGACCTAAATTGGCTCTGAGGTAGTCTAGCCTCTTGCAACAGACATAGAACCATCTTTTCTTCTTCTTATTTTTGTGATGCTACTTTGGTTCCAACCATACTCCCTGGCATGAAGAAAGGCAAATATGGCCGGATCTCCCAGAGCAGTACCTGTGCAGCCCTCCAGGTAGCCTGTCCCTTGCCAACCTTCCTGTATATCCTAGGACATTTGAAATCAGGCTCACAGAATGCAGTTATAATTTTAACTAACTTCTAAATCTAGAACCAGTTCAAATACAGTAGGTTAGTTACTACCCAATATGGCAAGAATGTAGCTAGGGCTCTGGTATTTGTACTGACTATCTAAAGAATCCCAGCAAAGGCTTTCTTACACATTACAAAGAGAAAAAAAGAAAAGCATTGATTTATTGCCCTGATATTTGTTCATACAAAACAAACTCTTCCGATGTTATTTTTTCCACTCATCAAGGGAGTCTAATTTTGCTGCTTTGTTTTGATCTGTTTATAAGGGAAAAGGCAGAAAGCATTGAGTGAAATTTGAGTTCGTACTTTTCCAGTTCTGGAATCTTGGGCAACTTTTTATCTTTGCTGGCCCTTGGGTTCCTCATTTAGAAAATGAGAAGACAAAGAATACGTATTCCACAGGGCTTTGTAATCATCAGAACATGATTTTTGCTAAGTATTTCTCAAAGCACTTGGGACTGTACTGAGTAAGAATTCAACATGTAGTAGCTGTTATTATTTGTTATCTAAGGCTTTTAAAAACCTTTAGTGAAAAGAAAAATGAATTATAGCTTGTCGTTTTTTCATGTGAATATCTAAAATGTCAAACCTGCATGGAGAGTGAAGGGTTTGGGCCCCGATAATTCCAGAGATGAGGATATCAGTGAGCAAGGGTCGGAAAGCAAATAACCATGTTCTGGGTGAGCAGAGCTAAGAATGGGACCAGCCTGACTCTGCTGGCATTCCTGAGTGGACAGATCATTGCTATATTCCAATTGTACCCATCCACCCAACTTCAACTGCATACTGTCACACTTCAGTATTTGTAAACATGGTGATTTGCAATAAGAAGGAAGAGTAAGAGAGGAAATCAGGGCCATTATAAACATGGTTTTTGAACTGCCTCTTGAGAGATAAGCAAGAGCCAGTGTGTGTGTGTGTGTGTGTGTGTGTGTGTGTGTGTGTGTGTGTGTGTGCATATGTGCACACACATGCCAATAATAGATCTTGTGGTCAGGACCTCAAGTTTCACTGAACTTTTTCATTCACAGTTGGTACTTTACTTGAGTCATACCTCCAATTCTGAGTTTTTGCTGGTTAACTGGAGAGAAAAGTCTTGAGGATTTGTCTAAGTGGGCTGGTTTCAAACCTTGATCCTTAGATCTCAGCTTCCTGAGTCGTTAGGATTATAAGTATGAGCTGCCAATGCCCAGCTAACAGCCAGTCTTATGAAAAGTATTTTCTGGATACCTGGTCTAGAATGGGCTCAGTTCCTTATCATAGAAAAGGACTTCTACTTTTCAGAAGTGCTGTGTGGCAATACACACTCTATGTGGGCCAATTTGTCAACTTTGAGAGCTGGATAATTAAGTTCTAATGAACACAAATTATCAAATGATACATTTCTCTCCTGCATAAGTGGTTTCTCTAAGGTACCCATATATTTCAACTAAGAGTGTAAACTGGTACTTTAGGCAATTATCATTTTATCAATTCAAGAAGTGGCCTTTGTATAAATCTGCAGAGCCAACGTCTAGGATTGGTCTATTAAACATTCATTTCATGATTGGCCACAAAACATAAAATCTTCAAAAAGTATAATGCCCAGTAGGAAAGAGCAAATTCTTATACTGACAGTTGACAGAAGATACTTAACAGAATAGGATATTCTTCTTCTTCCTGCCCTCACAGTGACAAACAGGGCAAACAACAATGTTTATTTGGGTTTTCGATCTCTCTACTTAAATAAACATGCAGCAAAATGGGACAGTCAATTTGTGTCATGTTGCTAGAATTTGGGAATCTAATTTGCTTATATTAATTATTCATATTCTCTAGGCAGGACAACCATGGCTTTATTAATTTTCTGTTCTTGCAAACCATATAACTATATCTCAAATGACTTTAGTTGATAGGTTTGACTTCCTTTAGGTTAAGAAGTCAGAAATTGGAAAAAGAAACACAAGAGAAAGAAAGGTAATGGCTGGGCGTTGGTGGCTCATGCCCATATCCTAGCTACTCAGGAGGCTAAGATCTGAGGATCACGGTTCAAAGCCAACTTAAGCAGGAAAGTCCACGAGACTCTTAGCTCCAATAAACTACCAGAAACCTGGAAGTGGTGCTGTGGCTCAAGTGGTAGAGCACTCGCCTTGAGCTGAAGAGCTGAGGGACAGCACCCAGGCCCAGAGTTCAAGCCCCATGACTGACAAAAAAAGAAAGAAAGAAAGAAAGAAAGAAAGAAAGAAAGAAAGAAAGAAAGAAAGAAAGAAAGAAAGAAAGAAAGAAAGGTAATGTAGGTAAGTGTGAAAATCCAGGAAGGATGGGCAATGGGACCATTTTCTGAGACTTTCTTAGGGGCCTTACAAGGACCCCAAGGGAGAGCCCAAAAGGGAAAGGCAAATGTAGGTGTCCAGATAGAATGTGTATCAGCAGCTACAATGGTATAGCAGGCACACACAATAACAAGCAGGACAATAAGCTCTATTCTAGCACTGTAGCCAACATGTTAACTTGCACAGCTATGATCATGTCAGCAGTCCTCTGGCTCCAGTGTCTTTCTTTTGTCAATGTAACTGAGCTAGATACGTGATCTCCTGTGTTTCTTTGGAAGGCACATGACACACAGACAGAAACACAGACACACAAATACCACTGAGAACAAAGGCAGAGCTAGGCAAGGTGGTGGCATGTCTATACTTATGAACACAAGTCCACAGCGGCCTTGAATGAGCGGAGTAGGAACCAGATGGGCCAGGGAATCACGGGCTTGCTACTTTCTGGCACTAGTCCTGGGGTAAGGATGCAAAAGGGTAGATTATTTTAAGTATTTAAGGCTCCGTGTATGTGTCTACCACAATAGCTGTCACAAAACACCCATGGGAGAATAAAAGCTCTACAAACATCCATTAATGCTAGTATTCCACAGAACACAAAGTCTGGTCCATCAGAAATGTTCCTTCTTTCTGAAATGAAGGGCTGCCACTGTCTTAAGATTGGGAATTAAAGAAGCATGATTAGTTGAGTAATTCCTAGACTGATGAATGATTGAAAGAATAGCTGGAACTGTATTAGTACAAACTGATCAGCTGAAACTCCTGGTAAATTATGTTGACTTTAGATAAAACAGGTCATTCCATGATAAAAAGGCATTATCCTAGAAGCTCTGCATTTCATGAGTTATTTTGCTTAGCAGAGAAATTCATCAAGTGTACACAGAAATGTGCACATCTTTAAAATTTATTCTACCTCAAGTCCTTTTTAAAAAATTAGACCACATCTTCTGTTTGGTTATTTCCTCTGGACCTACTTAGGGACTTGATTATCCAGGAGGAAAAGGCAAACATTGCAGGGGACCAGGCTTGCATCATCCTTTTGATAAGTTCAGACTCACATACAGAGGTGTTCAGCATCCAACACCATCATGCAGCACAGACTGTGTCCTTGTAGAATGACAGTCATGTTACATATTTAGCTGCAGCCGAGGGCGGAATTGTAGGGAAAATTCTTACATAATTAGACTATAATTATTCTGGCTTTGTATAATAAAGAGCTCATTTCCCAGTTTGTCACAAATGGTATAGCCACTTAGCTGCCTGAGGGTACAGGTAGATACTCTGGATGTCCCTGAATGCCCTCAAGAGCTGGAGGAAGGTCATGGTCAAGGTCACTGACTTCTCATCTGTTAGGGTTTGGATCTGGTATATCTGGGGAGATTCAAATCATATGTGTGCATGAAAATACCCAGATAGGGAAAAAGCTCAGGTTAGGCCAAGGAGGAAGCAGTCAAAATGCAATCAAGTGAGATGGTATTGAAAGAAAGAGGACAGAGAGCTAGGCAGGCTCTTCTTCCTGGTACCCCACCTCCCAAATTGCTGGGATTACAGCCATGTGCTACTGCAACTGGCCTATATTCTTTTTATCTCATTTAAAACCAGGAGAAACACTCCCCTCCCTCCGCTGAGGGGAAATAAAAACTATACACAAAAACATACCAAAAAGCACAAATTATAGAAGAAAAGACTATGTAATTTTCTGGAAAAATTCTATGAAGTTCTCTAAAACTAAAAGACATACAGACAAAAAGAAACCAAGGAATTTACCTTACTTAAATATTTAAAAAAATCTTTGGTGAGTTTTGTTCATCAAAGGCTTTGAAATAATCAGAATTTTTCAAATATCTGAATTACCACTGACTGGACATTCTTTTGAAACATTTTTCCACTGTTACAACCATCAACTTCTTATTCTAACATTATTCTTTAGCTTTCTCTAGTCACCAAAGAGGAATCCCCAGACCAAGTGTACCCAGGGAGACCTGCTGCTGTAGGTGTAAACCAACCTAGCAGCTGACTAGAGTGAGAAGCCATGCAGGAATTTTCCTGCTGGGTGCCAGAAAGCTGCAGGGGACTGGCCCTCTCAAGTAGGGGGTAGGGTTGGGTGGTAAGGTTGATGAGCCTCCTCTTGCCACTCCCCTCATCTCTGACTTGAACAGGGCAGTTGGAAAAAATTAGGGTCCTCAGAGCAAATCAGAGTAGAGCCTAAGCCAAACCAGGCAGGTGCTAGGACCCTGGCAGTCTAACTAAGCCTAGAGCAGAACAAGTCAGTCAGCAGCAACATTGGCTATTAACTGTCACTAGGAGACTCCCACCAGCACCTGAAAGCCAGTATAAGGAGCCTGCTCTTAAAGTGCCATATACCTATAGAGACCAAGGTCCCTTTCTTGAAGGTATCTCATGAATATTGAGGCCAGAAATAGATTCAGGAAATTACTACATAGCTATTTTCATAGTTAGCAGAGTAAATATACCCAATGGTTTGCCCTTACTAAAACAATCCGAGTTTATAAATGTGGAAAGTAGGAGATAGTTATTGCCAAAGGTTATTCTTTCTCTCTCTCTCTTTTTTATTGTCAAGGTGATGTAGAGAGGGTTACAGTTACGTAAGGCAATAATTACAATTCTTGTCAAACTTGTTATCCCTTCCCTTATTTTTTTCCTATTTTCCCTTTCCCCAACCCCCCAACAAAGGTTATTCTTAATCTTGATCAAATCATGCAAAAATTAAACCAGATTTTCCCAGGTTATGATTTTAAAACTGCTGAAAATGGCAGAAAATACTTCCAAAAGAAGAAATGATTTCAATTTAGGCCATTATGTCAAGGGAAACGCCAGTTTAAATACTGCCCCTGGCCACTTGGCATTATCCAGCTTAAGAACTTCAAAATCTATGGGATTCAGCCATGAGATGGTGAATATCAGCCTGTTGACAGGTAAGATTTTTCTAAAGAGTTTTTAAGCTGTGGTGCCACTGCATTTTGCTACATACCGTAATTTGAACTGTGAGCGAACTTCCCCGTGTTCTATTTGAATCAGTTCATTATAGCAAGCAATTATGCTGCTATTCTCCATAAATCTCTGAAAAGAAAGCAAAGATAATACATAAGACATTTCCAATTATTTCTTAGAGAGTCAAGTAGAGAAACTTAACAGCTGTTCCTACCACCAGGTAACTGTTATGTAAGATGTCTAGTAAGTAGGATGAGAGGAAACAGAAAAGTTGTCAGGGAGTTTGAAATGCTTGTTTGAATGCGTGAGAAACAACAGAGCAGGCAATACTTATACTTACACTGCCTTTATAACAAAGGTGGAATAAACTTCATTATGAGTAATCATAGGAAAATAAATACACAAGAGCACAATATGCTTCCCCAACCATGTACTCATTGCTATTTCATATTGTACTAATAAACATCACTGAAACTCAATCCCAGCATATTCATTGTGTGCTACATTGCCAATGAACTCATTGTAGGAAGTGGTTATTCTGCTTCATTCTGAATTTTGTTAGTGCTTAATCCACAGCTCATTTAAAAAACCAGTAAACTTAGTCAGGTGTGGTTCCTCACATTTATAATCTCAGCTACTTAAGAGACATAGATGATCAGGAAGATCACTGTTTCAGGCCAGGAAAAAAGTTAGAAAGAACCCATCTCAACCAATAAGGCTGAGTATAGTGTTACATTTCTGTCATCCTAGCTATATGAGTGGTTTAAACACGAGCATCATGATCCAGGCTGGCCCTGGCCCCCCAAATATATATATATGAGACCTTATTCAAAAATTAAGTAAAGCAAGTGGGTTAGAGATGTAACTCAAGTGGTAGAGCCTGAGTTCAAACCCCAGTACTGGCAAAAAAAAAAGCAACAAACAAAACATTAAGCTAAACAACAAAAGATAAACAACTCAGTGAAAAACTGGGATACATATTTGATAAGGTATGTCTCTAAGAAAATAAACAAATGGGCAGCAAATAGATGAAAGATGCTGTATTGTCAGCCACTTAAGAAATGCAATCAAAAGCACAGTGTAGTCATTCCACAGCCAAGGAGATGGCTATACTAACAAGGAGAAAATGGGCACAGGTAAGGGTGTGGAGAAACAGAACACTTGAACACTGCCAGTAGGAATGTGAAATGGTTTAGTTGCTGGGAAAAATACTTGGGGAATGAGTCAAAAAATTTAACACAGAATTTCTGTATAATCCAGGGAAGAATATACCCAAAGGACTAAACATGGAGACTCAAATACTTGTATAAACAGGACCCTAGTAACATGATTCATGATAGCCGAAAGGTAGAAGTAGCCCAAAATGTCCATCAACAGACAAATGTATAAACAATTTATGATGTGTACATATAGTGAAGTGTTACTCAAACATAAAGCAGGAATGAAGTATTGATACATGTTGTATCATGTATAAACCTAAAAATATTCAGTGAAGCCAGGTACCAATGACTTACACCTTGTAATCCTAGCTACTCAGAAGGGTGAGATCTGAGGATCATAGTTTGAAGCTAGCCTGGGCAGAAATGTCTATGAGACTCTTATCTCCAATGAACCACACACACACACACACACACACACACACACACACACACACAGTGACAGTGGAGCTGTGATTCAAGCAGTAGAGAGCTAGCCTTGAGCACAAAAGCTCTCAGAAAGCACTCAGGCCCTGAGTTTAAGCTTAGGACTGGGGCACATTCTTGCACATGCACTCTTGTGCACGTGCACACACACACACACACATCAGTGAAGATAACAATCATCTATAAAATAGACACCAAAAGTCATATGTTGTGATTCTATTGACCTGAAATCTGTACGGTGGATCTATCCATAGAACCCAGACTGGGGATGTCCAGAGCTGAAGGAGAATTCGAAGTGACCACTTAATGGGAAAAGGTTATAAAATGTTTTAGAACTGCATATAGGTGGTGGATACACAACTGTAAATATGCTAAATGTCCATTTTAAAGTAGTTTATTCTTTCTTTCCCTTGTTTTATTATCTTTAACTAGTTGTACAATGTTCAGTTTGCCATGCCTATCAATGTGTACAGTGCATCTTAATCATTCTCACTTGCAGCTCTTTCAATCCCACCTGTCCCCTCAAGTTTCCGAGTTCCATCTTTATGTGTGCACATTGAAAATTGTGATTATATTCACTCACCACTCCTCTCCCATTCATTCACTCCCTCCCCTTAACCTTAGCCACCCTCAGACAAGACATGTTTCAGCTAGCATTTTCTTAAACTGGCTGTTAACTGTTCAAAGACGTTATACCAAAAAAATCCACCCTACCTAGACCGTACTTCAGTCAGTGTGTGTGTGTGTGTGTGTGTGTGTGTGTGTGTGTGTGTGTGCTGGTCCTGGGTGCTGTCCCTGAGGTTTATTTGCTCAAGGTTTGCACTTGACGGCTTAAACTACAACTCCATTTCTGGCTTTTTTTGGAGATAAGATTCTCATGGACTTTCCAACCAGGGCTGGCTTCAAACCATGGTCCTCAACTCAGCCTCCTGAGTAGCTAGGATTGTAGGAGTGAGCCACTGATGTTATGGACTCTTTGATGGGTGGAACCATGTGTCAGGCAGTTAGAGAGTTCTGAGTGACTAGCTAAGGCTTTACTTTTAATTTTATTTAGAAATACTTTTTAGAAAATAATGGTATTTACAGGGAAATGGATGGAACTAGAGTGAATTATTTTGAGTAAGGTAAGCCTAGAACAGAGACAAACGGCACATGGTCTCCCTGATATATGGATGATAAAGCCAAAATGCAAGGAGATACGACAAAGTAAACAGGACCTCCAGAAACAAAGGACAGTCACTCATTTTGTCATATCATTGCTAAATGACTCCATGTTCTTGACCATATATATTGTATATATATGCACGCAACAGAGGGAAGCCAGGAGGAGGATGCAGAGTAAGTGGGAAACGGAACAACATACAACGAAGGGGCCCATCAGCTGCACTGGACATAGAAGAAAAAGAACTAAGCAACCAAAGACAGTGATGGGAAGGGAGGAATGAGAGGGAAAGAGGGAAAGCTTACACTAAGCAAAAGGAAAGAAATGTAAACATCACCTGATGTGGGAGAAACACTTGAATTGTCAAAGCTCAGAATTCACAAACTTTATAAACCATGATAAAGACAATTTGCCTTGTAAAGGTTAAAAAGTGTTTGTGACTTTAACTAAGTATCACTATTCAACAATAATGTGAAATATATGAAATTTATGTAATCACCTAATCTCAATTTTTTAAAAAAAGAAAATAAAAATGAGAAAAGGGATGGGTTAGGAGCCATGGGCAGCAATGTTGCCAGACACCTTGTATTCATATACTGTTTTGTAGAATGGGAACTTCTTTGTACAACTACTTCAAGATAACAATAATTAAAAATGTTAAAAAAATAGTAGTCACAGAGTCGGCTAGAATGTTCAGATGAATGACTATGAAAAGAGAAAATGTACAAATCAGGGAGGGGAAGGGAAATAACAAAATGTTGAAACAAGGATACAGGATGACCCATTATAACAATGACATGTACAAGACACTATGTTGAAAATGAACTTTACAACTTTGCAGGGGGGTGAGGGATGAGTTGGGGAGGTGGAGAGGGAAGAGACAGTAGGGAAAAATAAAGGAGGGGGTAACAATGTTTGACAGGAAATGGACTCATTACCTTGCTCATGTAACTTTAATCTCTCTGTACAGTATCTTTACAATAAAAAATATTTAAAACTAAACAAAATAAAATCTCTTTTTCAAAAAAAGAAAATACCCTTTAGAGTTAAAACATTCTGTAATACAGTAGATTATGCTAAAGTTGGCATGATGGAATTGACTAGAGGAGTGATCAGATCATCCCATATGCTGATGGGCAGTGTGGCTAATGTGCTCTGTGGATTCTCAGACTGTGTCTTTCCTTACCCCAAACTTCTTTGACCCTAAAGGCTATCTCTGTGTAGTACCTATGAGCATTTGGAATACTGGAGTCACCTGGGACAGTGTGGGCAATAAACTTTAGAGAACCCGGACAAGAGTTTGGAGTTAAGGCTAAACGGCATGGTTGAGTTCGCTGTGAACATGAGCTCTGGCTAGCTATTTTGTTGTTTTGCCCTTGTTTCCATCTTTGAAAAAATGGAGAAAGTATCAAATCCCTTATTATGTTGAGGAGGATTAAGTAAATCACCTGGAACTGAGCCTGACAAAAAATGAATTATAGTTCCCTAGTCCTCATCCACAAGCAGCCACTCAGGGGAGAATTATGCCCCACAGCTATGCCCTGGCATGCCCAGCACATTACTTTGCACACAATCAGCTCCAGAAATACTTGTTGAGATGAATAAGCATTATTTCAAACAGAAAAAGGAGGCACACAAAGGTTAATATAAGGTTAATCTTGCAAAGATACTAGTTTCTAGAAGGCTTAGTGTGGAGTATCAGCATAGTTGATCACATACTCAAGCTCCAAAGGCTGGGAGGGGAATCGTTGCAGGACATTTGATAGCACAACATGTTCCTGAATCCTCACTCAGGGACCATAGACTGAAGTGCTGGCCTCTCAGCTAGCAACACAGGCTGAGTTTTGGCAAATGATTTAGTACAATCAAAACAACCCAGGGAAGGCAAGAAGAGCTGGCATATTTGGATAGAGAGTTGCCAAAGACAAGATCTTCTTCAGTAAAGGAAAACAGCCACCTGGAGATCTACCTCAGCTGTTCCTGAGCCACAGTAAGACAGGAAAGCCACCATGGGGGCTGTGTGCTCCCCTTGGCTAGGGCTCTCAGGACTGAAGTACCCTGACCCAACTGGTGAATGGTCTTGACCAGATTAGACCCAGCACAGAGGACAGCCGGCAGTCCTGACAGAGGTTGCCTATCATGTTCCCACTAAGGGTCCATTCATTGTGGGTGACTGCTAAAATCAGTGACTGGTCTGGATGGAGGGAAATGAAACCTTCCAGAACAGACAAGTTAGAAAATATAAAAGGAAACAATAAATTTTTGTTAGATTCTCTTGAGTGTTTGCCCTTATGATTAACAGTTGTTTCTCCTAAGCATGTGAG